TTCAGCTTGGGTAGTTGTGCGCCAAGCACATCTCCTCTGACTGCAACTTCGCAGACTTGTCCACCAAGTCTCTTGGACTCCGTGACCACTACCATCTCCTCTATACCATGGGTCTTGGCGTCTCTGCGATTTCCGACGTTGTAGCCTAGGGGATGTGTTGGAGATAGGCTGCGATTTGGTTAGTGCACACTCTTGTGTGCTAGTCATTTGTTGGTTTAGGGTTAGGAATATTTGTTAGGTTGGGTTTAGCTCTTTCATCCCCAACCTATCCAAAGGGAATCCATCCCAAATCCCCACAATTTGGGAGGATTTGCTTGGGATTCCCTCCGATTCTCCCTTATCCCCTCTAATCCTCTCCGATGGTAGGTACTTAAGCATGTATGCTCTTGCTCATTCTATCAATCAAGTTCTCGTTTTCTGACACCTGCTCCCATACGTTCATATAGTAGTTCTTGTCACACTTCTCCACATCCTCTTTATGATTCTTGGTTTCCTCCCTAGTGGTGCATCTTTGACAAAGAATTAATACACTGCGACGACAGGTAAAGCCCTCCGCGAACTAATGTAGTGGCAACGATGAATTATGCTTCGGCAAAAAAAAAAAAAAAAAAAAAAAAAAAAAAAAACACACACACACGAGGATGACCAACTCTTGATTATGAGAATTCCTTGAGATTGGTCATATAGGTACGATAAAGAAACACGGTGCGATAGGAGCAGATGGCGGGATCGGCGACGTGATCGGCGTCAACATAGGTGAGTTGGAAATACGGGGTTGTGAGGGTCGAGTAGGTGAGTGCGATGTGAGGAGTCGAAATGAGGGCGTGTTGTAGGTCCAAAAGGTTCTCCATTTCAGGTCACTAAGAACACTGGGTGAGCTAGCTAGTGATATAGGAAGTAGTGGCAAAGAGCTAGCATCCGATCTGCTACTAGCATCGCTAATTTGTTGCGGGCGAGAGAGCCTTGGTATCGGGCTTGTAGTTGGTGGTAGGGAGTTGAGACAGGAGCGGATGTGATGGCGAACTTGGTTGTGAGGGTCTCGGCGTATTTGGAGGCAGAGATGTGAATGACGCCCGACGAGTACTGTAAGTTATGTTAAGGCCGAGAAACTAGGTGACATCGTGGGAGGTGGCGATGTCGACGCATTTGCGGAGATTGCGTTCGAACTAGTCAAGAAGCTCGTTGCTTGTGCTCGTGTAGAGAATATCATCGACCTAGGAAGTCAACAAAATATAGTCGCTGCAAAACTGGAGGCGGTACATGCCAGGTTCATGGGGGAGTTGGGTGAAGGCAATGCTGATCAGGATGCCATGACGGTGCATAGAGAGACTTCTGCAACCCGCGTGTCTCCGTCCCTGTAGATGTGAGACTATTTGATAAATGCATCGACTTTCGCGTGTATAAAGTTGTTCTCTACTTCTATCTGGCATAGGGGAAGATGCGTAACGAACGTGATAATGAGTAGGATGCCGACAGAAGTGTGACGGCTAACTGGCGCAAATGTCTGGTCGAGATCTATGCCATGGCACTGGTCGTATCGGTGAACGACCCATCTTGCATTGTAGCGTTCGATGAAGCTTGGTGAGATTACAATGCTCTGTGTGTGGGAGGGATGCATGGTCCAGTACCGATCTCACACCGCAACGACGGGGAAGTTCAAGAGCGGCGGATGCTAAGAGGTGCGTCTCGGAATCAGTCTACAATGCAAGGTGTGGAACATCCTAGATTCCGCTCCTCCAAGATTGTTCCTTTGCGAGACATTCTCTTCTACGAATGTCTCACTCTCGATCAGTTTCGCATTGATCGCACTACTAGGACCGCCATTACGTATGCCCATGGAGAGAGATTCCCCTCGTTAGCCGTAGTTGACAGAGATTGCGCACACGTACCGCATGATGCATGCCATAGGCCAGTAATCCGTGGGCACGTCAGAATGCCGCATCATGGCGTGTACCATGTTAGTCAATGTGCGATTGGTTCTCTCGGCAATGCCATGCTGAGGGTGAGCATATGGCAGAAACAGGTGATGCTCGTTGCTGAGCTCCCCCAGGTAAGTTTGGACCGACTGTCGCTCGGCTTGGCTCAACCATAGGCGAAAGATCTCGTAGACTTTGCCTCGGTTGCTGGCATTTACCACTCATACGTAGTGGAAACTTGAGTCAATAAAGGTAGGTGTGTAGAGGTCATTCTCGAGGTCGGTCTATGTGAGAACGACAAAGTTGCTTTAGACTTTGTCGAGTCGGTCATAGTGATTGGTTCCACGTTCGGGCAGCAGGAAGGGCTGGTGCGTGAGAGCGGCTTTAGGGCAGACGATGCAGGCATGTGGCTCGTTGCTGAGTGTGAGTTCAGATCCGTCGGGGCAGAGGAGAGATCCTAGAGCAAAAACACCAGCTCGTAATAAGTTGTTGAGAGTGGTCCTGGTGAGGTGTCAGAGCCGCTGGTGTCAGCTATGGTCTGGAACGTGGTGGCTAGTGAAGTGGCGGTAGCGGGTGCAAGACTCATGTGGGCTTGGAGATATACCATGCACTCGATTGGGGATGTACCACACTATGGATGAGGCACACACTTGTGTTATTTTTGGGAACTTCTATTCAATGTTTCCTTATCATAGTAATGGCTATTTATGGGTTTACTGCCTAGGATGCTACATTGTCCCATCAGATCAACTAAAGATGAATCTGGTACGCCAAACAAATGCAGTGCATATTTAATTGAAGCGCATCTCCTGACAACGATAGGAAGCTTGATACAGCTAAAAAAAATATTAAAAAAAATTGTGCACATTCTTTCGAGTTGCAAGTGTGCAATACTGTTGAGAAGAAGGGAGGAGCTAGAAGCTAGCTAGGAAGCCATAGAAGTGGCGCGAGGGTTTAGCTAGGAGAGAAAATATCGAGAGGAAAAAAAGGGATTAGATCAGGAAGAGAGAGGGATACAAGGATGGGGTTGTACCCTCTACAGTAGGTTTCAAAAACGCCTACCAATCCTACAATTATATATAACCAATTTAATTTAACACACCCCCTAGTCTTGGTAGCGGCAAGCCCACCCCACACGAAACACCCCCAAAATCCTGGCACCCCAATGTGCCGCAGCTGGTGAATCTTCTACCCATCATGCAAAGCGGTGACACCCCCGGCGGGTGGCAGCAACGGCATCAGCGGCGGCGGCGGCGGCATGCGGCGGCAAGAAAGGCCAGCGGCATCAGCGGCGGCGGCGGCGGCCTCGACGATTGCGGCGGCTACGGCGAGGCTCGCGGCACTCGTCGGCGTGGCACGACCCGGCGACGACCGGACATTGAGGCAGCAGCTGCGGCTGGAGGAGAGGAAGACACAGAGGGGGAAGGGGGTGTGGTCCAGCAACACGCCCGTGGCTGGCGTTGGCCTGGCGTGCGGGCGTCAGGGCTGGCGCCGCCTTAAACGAAGCGCGGCCTGCTGCTGCGCGACGACGCCGCCACGGCAGCATAACGACGCTGCCACAGCGCGGCGTCGATGCCGCGGCGGCATGTCGACGCTGCCACGGCAGCACGATGACGTCGCCACGGCGTGGCGTCGACGCCACGGCAGCGCGTTGGGGCTGCGACGGCAGCACGACGGAGCAGCTATGGCAGGCCGGCATGGCTGCCACGGCGGCACAAAATTGACGAGAGAAGAGCGAGTACGCGGTGGAAGTGTGGGGAGCAGGCCTGGAAGAGGCAACCTGCTCTGGTACCATGTTGAGAAGAAGGGGGAGCTAGAAGCTAGCTAGGAAGCCATAGAAGTGGTGTGAGGGTTTAGCTAGGAGAGAAAATATCGAGCAAAAAAAGGGATTAGATTAGGAAGAGAGAGGGATACAAGGAGGGAGTTGTACCCTCTACAGTAGGTTTCAGTAACGCCTACCAAGCCTACAATTATATATAACCAATATATTTTAACAAATACAGCATGTGAAATCAGCTTTCTGAATTATGAATGCGATATTGTCAGATTCTGGTACTGCAAACCACGATGGCTCCCAAACGTGCACCCCTATTCAGCTGCACTTGGGCTTTTTATATTTGCATATTTTGTAAATGTAGAAGATGCACAATTTTTTACATATGCTATTATTTTAATTGATATTTCCTAAATCAAGAATGGAAGAGGTAAGTAGTTAATATTGCTGATCTAATCGATTGAAAAGAACAAGATGGGACTTTTAGCGGGTCACTGCGTGGACATTCACCTTTCCGAGTTTGTGCTACCTCATCCAGCATGTGTGAACCTGGATCATTGGACCGAGAGGGGCGGCACACCGAGTCCAGCTTTGAAGGCAAGAGGGGGGATTGATTTATCCAGAAATGGTGATTGGCTCGCGCTTTTTGCGAAGTGGGAGCAGCAGCCAATCGCTGGTCGCATTCGCGGATATTGCAGTTTCGCCACCTCGTCGCTTCGCCGACGCAGGGAGCGATGGTGGCGTGGAAGCAGGGCTCTCGGTTCAAGGGTAAACATCCGGAATGTCAGGTACATTCCGGGTCTTTCCCGCTGAAATCTTGATTTTGAGGGTTTCGGAATCAAAAACCTCCTGACTGATTCCGGGCGTTTCCCAGGAACTCTCTGAGAAATCCGGACTGCGCGAAAAATTCTCCTGACTACTGGAATGGAAACCTACCCGTGCTGGAATTGTAACCCTACCCTCCCCCCCATTGCAGCCCTGACCAATTTTCCACACAATCTGAAATTGTGACCCGTCGAACTTTCACAACTACAGAAGTGCAGGGCTTTCAGACTATCACAACCCTTAAAGCAAGGGTCTCAAGAAGCAGAAAACCAAATCCAAAGGTTTTGGTTTTGGGGGGGTCTCGAAAATTGTGAGGTGTGGTGAGGGGTGCTGGTTGGGCTCTGTTACCGCTTCGCTAATATCGTCAACCCAAAACCAAACCTTTTGGATTTGGTTTCGTGCTACTTGAGACCCTCGCTTTAAGGGGTTGTGATAGTCAGGCTTCGCACTGTCCCTCTAAGTTGTACGCATTTCTGTCGCGATTGACAAGGAAAGTGTCGAACTTGGTGTGGTGCTGAGGGACAGCAACAGCAGCAAGTGTGTACTCTGTATTCTTCTCTGTTTCTTCCATGGATGTCCGTCCTGCTTGTACTCGAAGTTCCCGCAGGTTCCGCCTATATGTAGGGAGTTCCAAAAAACACTCTGAAATTCAGATTGAAAGGTCAAAGTAATCCTGAAAAAGAGAGATTTCTCAAGGAATGCTGATTTTTTCAGGGTATTTAGTGACGCGAATCCTGAGACCGCTGGGTCCTGGAAAACGAAAAATTAGCCCTGCGTGGAAGGCGGGTGCGTGCAGCAGCAAAAGGTGGTTGGCGAATCCAGTGTGTGGCTCCCCACACCTCGTGAATCCTCGCTTGTGGCTCTCATTCACGCGCCTCGCCTGGACAGCAATGACGCCCAGGTTCATACATGACGACGGTTCTTACCGTTCCAGATTCGACGCCTAATTGCTGAACCAGCCTACTTTGCAGGAGCTCCGGCTGTCTTCTGCATCTGTGGTTAGATTTTTGCTGGCACTTGCGTTCTTGCAGCAGCTCTTACCACGTTGCGTCCATCTCTGCATCACGTTAGACGGCTAATCTTCCCACGACGAAAGGGCTAGCTCGTCCCACAGCACGGGATAATCACAGCCGTCGCTCTCCTCCCGCACCTCCTTCCCGATGACACACCAGGTCGCCACGTGCAGGCCAGCGCCCCACGCGCGGGCCCACCGCGCGCTGGCCCACCGCTCCCTATCCTCGTCCACAGCGCTGTCCAGCGCTCGCGCACTCAAGCCCCCCACGCCCGCCGTGCTCCTTGCCACGCGCCGCTCCTCATGCCGGCTAACCGTCCGAGCGGTCCTGGACAAGTCGTCTAGCCGCAGCAGCGACAGCAGGAGCGGCAGCAGCGCGGGGCATGGTGGCGGCAAGGTGGGCAACGACGCGCTGGAGGCGGCGCGGTCGGCGCTGGAGCGGCTGTTCCAGCAGGCGCACGCGCACGAGCAGAAGCAGAAGCTGCTGGGCCCCGCGGCGGCGCCCGCCGACGCGACAGCCGCGTCGGTGGCGTTCCTGGAGGACGCCGTGCAGCAGCTCGAGGTGGACCTGTCGGCCGTCTTCGAGGCGCTCCGGGAGAAGGAGGGCGAGCTCGCCCTCGACGAGCGCCGCGTCGCCGACGAGCGCGCGAGCATGGTGGCGGCGCGAGAGGTGCTGATGGCGCGGGAGGCGCAGCTGGAGGAGAGGCAGGTGGCGCAGGGGGAGATGCGAGACGAGGCGGAGCAGCTGCGCCGGAAGGTGCGGGAACAGGGCGCGGAGGTGGAGGAGGTGAAGCGCGCAGTGGCGGAGCGAGAGGCGGAGCTGGCGCGCGCGAAGGAGGTGCTGGCGCTGAAGGAGGAGGAGATAGCGCGCGCGCACCTCGCAATCCGCCAGCGCAACGAGCGCATCGAGGCGGCGGAGCTCGACGCCAAGGCGCGCGAGATGCAGCTGGCGGCGGCGGAGGCGGAGCTGCGGCGGCTGGAGGCGGACGTGACGGCGGCGGAGGAGGAGGGCAGACAGGCAGCGCAGGAGGCGGAGGCCGCGCGGAGGGAGCTGCAGCGGCAGGAGGCGAAGCTGACGGCGATGGCGGAGGAGCTCGAGGGGCGCGCGCAGGTGGTGGCGGCAGCGGAAGACGAGATCAGTGCGCTGTCCGCGCGGCTGCGGGAGGCGGGTGCGGGCGGGGAGCAGGTGGAGCGCGAGGTGTCGAGCGCGCGGCGGCTGGTGGGCGATCTGAAGGCGGAGATGACGTCATCGAGCGGCGCTGTGGAGGCGTTCCGCGCGCAGGTGAAGGAGCTGCGGCTGGCGGTGGCGCGCAAGGGGCGCGAGGCGTCGTCGGCGCGCGTGCAGCTGCAGAAGCGTGACAAGGAGCTCAACCGCGCGCGGGGCGAGCTGGAGCGCGACAAGGCGGCGTTGAAGGCCGCCAAGGCGCGCGTGGCGGAGCTCGAGAAGCAGGTGCGCGCGCAGGTGGACGAGGCGGAGCGGGCTGCGCAGCTCGGTGAACGCGGAGCGCGCGGAGATGCGCTCTGCTAGCGCGGAGCTGGCGCAGCTGCGGAAGGAGTTCCGCCGGGGTGGACGGCGAGCTGCGCGAGGCGACGCTGGCGCTGCAGGTGAAGGAGGCGGAGATCGTCGGCCTGCGACTGCAGCTGCGCGACGCGCAGGCGAAGCTCGCGACGTCGCAGGCGGACCTGGCGACTCGCACGGCGGACCTGATGGCGGCGCAGCGGGCGATGGTGGGCATGCGGCGGGAGCTGAAGGCGGTGAAGGTGGAGCTGCGCGTGAAGGAGGAGCGCCTGGCGGGCATGGCGGATGAGATGCGGGCCAAGGACGCGCGGCTGGCGCGCGTGGAGCAGCAGCTGGACGGCACAACGCGCGCCTCCTCGTCGCCGAGTCCACGGTGCAGCAGATCGCGCAGCTCTCGCAGCACCTCGCCGAATCCGCGCTCGACGCCGCCGACCGCCTGGGGCTGGGCCCGGCTGTGTCGCTGGACGCGCTGCCCGCCGCCGGGGGGAGGCGGCACGTGGGCGCGCACGGCGGGGTGGGCGAGAGCGCGCTGCTGGCGGAGACGAACCAGCAGCTGTTCGCCGCCAGCCGCGCGCTGCTGGAGCGCGACGCCCAGGTGCACCGCCTGCAGGTCTCCGCGCGCGAGGGGCGGCAGGCGGAGGCGCGGCTGCGCGGGGAGCTGCAGCTGGCGCAGGAGGAGCTGCGCGGACGGGAGGGTGAGGTAGAGGAGGCGCGCGCGCGCTGCACGAGCGCGAGGAGGAGGTGCGACGGCTGCGCGCGCGGTGGGGGGAGCGCGAGGGCGAGCTGAGTGCCAGATGCGCGACGAGGTGGTGGCGGGCGCGCGGGAGATCGGCGAGCTGAAGCGCGCCATCACGGGGGGGCGGGGCGGGCGAGGGGGAGGGGGAGGAACTGGCGGACGAAGTGGTGAAGCTGGAGCTGGAGGTGAGGGGGGGAGGTGATGGTGAAGGGATGGGGAACGGGTGATAGGGGGGTGTGGTTATGTTGAAGGGGTGACGGGGTGGGGTGTGGTGATGGCATGTGTATGATGTGATTGTGGGATATGCGTTGTGTTGGGTGATGTTGCGAGTTCGTGGAGAGGAGGCGTGCTGCATGTACCACTGTGAGAGGTGGACTTGGGTTGCTGCTACAGCTGCGACCAGATGCAGTAGTGCGCGTGTGCTGTTGCTGTGAGAGGGCCAAGACGTGAGAGGGGGCATCATGCTCAATGTGTCCTTTTGCCTCTCCCTCACTTTCGCAAGCCACTAATTTGTTGCTCACATCTTCCTATTTTCTCTCCCCTTCCCCTATCCTTCCCAACACCCCTCCCCTCCCCCCCCCCCCAGGTGGCGAAGGCGGAGGCGGAGACGGCGATGATGGCGCTGCGCGGGCTGCTGGACCTCAGCTGCCAGCTCAGGGACGACGCGCACCACCACGCCGCGCACCCGCGCCTGGCCGTGCACGCCCGCGCGCAGGTGCAGGAGCGGGCAGGGGTGCATGCGGGGGTGTTGAGTGTGGCAGGCGACGTGCCACGGGAGGAGGCGGCTCTGGCGGTGCGGCGGCACGTGGCGCAGAGGGAGGAGGCGCTGGGGCTGGCAGCGCGCGCCATGGGGGGGCTGAAGCGCCTCACGCGCAAGCTGGTGGTGGATGCTGAGAGCGAGATGGCAGGCGTTATGGGGGGCGCTGCTTGACAGGGCGTCATGGGGGGCGCTGCTTGACTGGGCGCTAGAGCAGCAGCTGAGGACGGGGTTTGAATAGCGTCTCAGCTCACAACGCCAGCTGGTGGTGGAAGCCACTGGTAGTAGTTGTCTAGTCTTTGTGTAGGCGGTCTGGACAGACCTGTGTATAATGTGCAAGCCTGCGCCTTAGCAACAACCACGTCACATGGAGAGCAGGGCTGACGTTTCAAAAAGGCCACCCTTAGTTGTCGAATAGCGCGCTTCGACGATGCTTTAGATTGCGTTACAAGCAGCTTCGCATTCACAATACAAAATTTTAAAAGTGTGAACACTTCAAAAAATTATATATTGAGAAAGCTCGCTACTTGTGCAAATGACATCGTTCTCATTCCACTGGGTTGACCTGAGACATGGAGGGAGATGGCTGTCGGTGGCGTACAAGAGCTCGAGAATGTTGTGCCGGGGATGGAACCGACCCAAAAATCTGTACATTGCGGGACGCCGCCACCAGTTGGTCGACGGCGGGTGTGACGTATATTTCTTTGGCCGTGTCACTGCGCCATCGGCCAAGACGTTTGAAGAGCCGGTCCGCTACGCCTCCGTGGGCAGCTACGGTCGCAGCGCCTTTGCGAAAGGAGTGGGTGCCGAGGTGATGCTCACCCAGGCCGATGGACTGGAAAGCCTCCTTGCACCAGTTGCGTATGGTGGTGTATGATGGCGGCTTGCTGGTGGGGACGCCACCTGCGGCCACGCCTAACACCCGGATTAAGGGTCCGGGAGTGGTGGGTCCATAGCCTGCCAACCGGATGAAGCGTTTGGTGCATCGGACAGGGCAGAGGGGTCCTGGGACGGCAGCAACAGGAACCCATGAGCCCTGACCTGCCTGGTCCGTTTTGGAGCGCAGGACGAGCAGCCACATTACTAACAAAATTGAGAAGTTGATAATAGATAGAGAGTACACAAAGATATACCTAAGTGTTGTACTCTCTAAGAGGCGACCCTATACAGTCTATACAAACATGACAAATACACATGTTTGACACACCCCCTAGACTGCATAGGGGAATGCCCTAAACAAACAGCTCAGGGCGGCACTACTAGTCCAACCTCTGAGACAAGGGTCTGAGAGACCAGTCAGAAGGAGTACAAACAAGGCAAGAACAAGAGCAGGGCGGCACTACTAGTCCAGCCACTGAGAGAGGACACAAGTCCAGTCTGAGTATACGTATAAAGGACAGTACAAAGTCAAGGTCCTAGCAAGTGAGAGGCTACAGAACTAGACCAAGCTGTACACAGTGCCGCTGATGATCTTTAGGCGCAAGCGCCTTCGTAAAGATATCAGCCGTGGTTGGCACCTGAGGCCAAGTGTACTACGCGAGCCTGACGTCGCTGCTGTAGCTCACGCAGAAGGAAGTACCGCAGCTGAATGTGCTTTGCTCTGCCCTCGAGTCGAGGCTCCTGACACAGGAGGATCATGGCCCTGTTGTCAGCGAACAGGACCGGGGCAGAGCTAGGCCGCTCACCTAAGTCAGTGAGCAAGAAGGTCAGCCAGCGGAGCTCCTGTGCCGCCATGGCACCAGCGTAGATCTCAGCCTCACAGCTGGACTGCGCAACAGACGAGGAGCGGGTAGCTCTCCACGAGACGGCACCTGAGCCAAGGCTGAAGCAGTAGCCCTGGGTAGACCTGAGTGTCTCAGCGTCGTCTGCCCACGAAGCGTCTGTGTGTCCAGTAAGGACCACTGGCCTGCGTCCTCCTAGCACTAACCCCATGCCCGATGTACTAGCAAGATAACGCAAAACCCTCTTAGCGGCAGACCAGTGCTGCGGTCGGTGTCTGCCTGTGGCCACAAAGCGAGCCAGGATGCTGAGAGGGTATGCGAGATCTGGGCGAGTGCAAGTCATCAGGTACATGAGGCAACCCACCAGCTCTGCGTAGGGGCCGCTGGGCTCTACCAACTCCTCAGACACTGGAGCGGAGAGTCTGTGGTCTACAGGCAGAGGGGTGGGCTGTGCAGAGGAGAACTGAAGGCTGAACCTCTGAAGGACCTGGCGCACCAAGTGTGACTGAGTCAGGGGTGATGGTGCGCGCAGCTCTGTCCCTGGAGATCTGCAAGCCAAGGTAACGGCGCAGTTCTCCAAGGTCAGTGCACGTGTGTCTCTTCAGCAGCTCTGCCTTCACGGAGGCCAGTGCGTCCCTGTCAGCTGTGGCAAAGACCAGGTCGTCGACGTAAACAAGGATGTAGAACGGAGTCTGGCCAGCACGAACGAAGAGTGAAGGGTCTGCGGAAGACGGAAAGAACTGCAGGTCAGCAAGCGTAGCACGGAGAGTGTCGTGCCACTCACGGGGAGCCTGGCGCAGGCCGTAGACGGGGCGCCGCAGGAGCCACTGGGTCCCAGGAGGGAAGGTGCCAGTGAAGCCCTGAGGGCGCCGCAGGTAGACCTGCTCGTGTAGGCTGCCCTGAAGGAAGGCAGTGGAGAAGTCGAGGGAGTGAAGCTCGTAGTCACGCTGAGCAGCTAGGTGTAACAGAACCCGAAGAGTAGTCATCTTCGGGGTCGGAGCGAAGGTCTGGAAGAAGTCCACCCCCTCGCGCTGACTGAAGCCTCTAGCCACATAGCGCGCCTTGAAGACAGGCGGCTCTCCAGGAGGGCGCTTCACCTTGAAGAGCCAGCGGCCATCGACTACGTTCACCCCAGGTGGGGGAACTGCGTCGACGAAGGTGCCGGTGGATCTCCAAGATGCCATCTCCTGCTCCATGGCAGCTATCCACTGCGAGGCCCAGGGTCCCGAAGTCGCCTCAGCGTAAGTGCGAGGGGTCGGGATGTCGAAAGCGTCTGGGTCACCCTCAGGGACTAGCAGCATGGAACAGAGATGGGGAGCAGCCTCGGAGAGGAAAGCAAGCTCGAACTGGCGGTCCTCCAGGACGTCACTGCCAAGGGCAGGAGCACCCCCGACAGACGGAGGACAGGCAGGGTCAGAGACCAGAGCGGAGGCGTAGTCAAGGCGGCGGGTAGAGGCGAAGTCAGCGACAGCAGCGACAAGAGCGTCAAGGCACGAGGTCGGAACAGACGGGTCGGTAACGAGAGAGGCAAGGACCCGAGGAACAAGGGGACGAGCGGCACGAAGGTAGTCAGACAGCGGGGGGGGTGCAACAACAAGGGAGGAGGAGGAGGCGACGGCAGAAGGGGAGGACGAGACGCGTGGGAACGAAGCAACATAGGGTGAGAGCGCAAGACAGGCGAGGCAGGACGAGCACGGGAGGGACGGTGAGACCAGACGTGCGACGGAGGAGTCGGGTCAGGAGACAGAGGAGGGGACACAGGAGGGAACGAGGGGGGAGACGGGCCGGGGACGAGTCCGGCGGAGGGAAGACAGGGCCGTAGACAGGAAGAGGAGGAGACGGCCGGGGAGGAACCGACGCAGGGTCAGGGGACGGAAGGCCGAGCAGGCGAAGGGCTGACACCGGCGGGGACTGCTGCTCGGCGGCACAACGGCGACACCGGACCGCAAGCTGCTCCTCGGCTACCACCCGGCACTCTCCACACCAGCACCCCCAGAGGGACCACCCCAGGGCTACCGGGACGAGCACCCAGAGTCAGCGAACGGGTGCTGCGACGGCGGCGGCGGCGGCGGCGGCAGCGACAACGACGGCTGCAGCGGCGGCAGAGGCGGTGGAGGGGGGACTGGGGAGGGGACGCTAGGGGAGGGGCGGCCGGCGAGGACTGAACAGGAGGGCCACCAGAGTCAGAAGACTCCTCAACCGGGTCCACCGACGGAAGGGGGGTGACGTGGGACACACCAGAGGGGGCGGGACGGGGAGGAGGAGGAGGAGGGGCAGGGACTACCGGGGAAGGAGTGACCAGGAACAGGGGGGGTAACCGGGGGACCACGGTGGGGGAAGCGACGGTAGTAGGAGACGGACTCGTCAAAGGTGACGTCACGAGAGTGAAAGAAGCGGTGAGACGGCGGGTGGTAAAAGTGCCAGTCGGACGCGTCAAGGGGAAAACCGAGGAAGACGCAGGGAAGGGTGCGGGCAGTGAGCTTGTCCGTGCCGGAGGCACGGACGTGAGCAAGGCAGCCCCAGACGTGGAACGCAGACGCGTCACCAGGAGACCCAGTCCAAAGACGAGTCGGCGGTGCAGTGCGGGGCAGTACGGTGCAGGGCAGTGTAGGGCAGGGGGGGGGGGGGGGGGGGGGGGGGGGGGGGGGGGGAGGGGGGGGGGGCGGGGGGGGGGGGGCGGGGGGGGAAACCGTACCAGTGAGGAGGACCGGGGCCGGGGCAGGGACGAGCGCAGGGGCCGGGCCGGTGCAACGGGGCCGGGCGGGCGCGACGGGGCCGGGTGGGCGCGACGGGGCCGGGCAGGTGCGACGGGGCCGGGCGGGCGCGACGGGGCCGGGTGGGCGCGACGGGCCGGGCTGGTGCGACGGGGCCGGGCGGGTGCGTCGGGGCCGGGCTGGTGCGACGGTGCCGGGCCGGTGCGACGGGGCCGGGCGAGCAGGACGGTGGCCCAGGAGGGGCGCACCGGGGCTGGGCGGGCGCGACGGGGCCGGACGGCTGCGACGAGGCCGGGCGGTGCGACGGGGCCGGGCGGGTGCGACGGGGCCAGACGGGTGCGACGGGGCCGGACGGGTGCGACGGGGCCGGGCGGCTGCGACGGGGCCGGGCAGGGGGCGACGGGGCCGGGCGAGTGCAACGGGGCCGGGCGGGCGTGACGGGGCCGGGCTGGTGCGACGGGGCCGGGCTGGTGCGACGAAGCCGGGCTGGGGCGACGGGGCCGGGCGAGCGCGACGGGGCCTGAAGGCGTGACGGGGCCCAGGAGGGGGGGGGGGGCTCGACGCGGCCCAGGAGGGGCGCTACGGGGCCCAGGAGGGGCACGCCGGGGGGCCCAGGAGGGGCGCTACAGGGGCCCAGGAGGGGCGCGACGAGGCCCAGGAGGGGCGCTACGAAGCCCAGGAGGGGCGCGACGGGGCCCAGGAGGGGCGCTACGAAACCCAGGAGGGGCGCGACAAGGCCCAGGAGGGGCGCTACGGGGCCTAGGAGGGGCGCGACGGGGCCTGGGAGGGGCGCGACGAGGCCCAGGAGGGGCGCTACAGGGCCCAGGGAGGGCGCGACGGGGCCCAGGAGGGGCGCTACGGGGCCCAGGAGGGGCGCTACGAAGCCCAGGAGGGGCGCGACGGGGCCCAGGAGGGGCGCTACGGGGCCCAGGAGGGGCGCGACGGGGCCCAGGAGGGCGCTACGAAGCCCAGGAGGGGCGCGACGGGGCCTGGGAGGGGCGCGACGGGGCCCAGGAGGGGCGCTACAAGGGCCCAGGAAGGGCGCGACGGGGCCCAGGAGGGCGCTACGGAGCCCAGGAGGGGCGCGACGAGGCCCAGGAGGGGCGCTACAGGGGGGGGGGGCCTAGGAGGGGTGCGACGGGGCGGGCGACGGGCTGGGAGGGGCGCCGACAGGGCCCAGTGACGGGGTGCGACGGGGCCCAGGAGGGGTGCTAGAGGGTGAGCGGAAGCGGTAGGTGGGGGGGGGGGGGATCCTACCTACGCGTGATACCATAACAAAATTGAGAAGTTGATAATAGATAGAGAGTACACACAGATATACCTAAGTGTTGTACCCTCTAAGAGGCGACCCTATACAGTTTTATACAAACATGACAAATACACATGTTTGACAAGTACGTCATCCTCAAACTGGATATCCTCCAGTTGATGGCCACTAGATCGGAGTAACGCAAAAATCCGACGTACATGAGAAGGGGAATGAGACCTTTCTGGAATGTGGCTGGGTCGTTAGCACCGATGAAGTGAGTAGCCATCTCGTGCACTTGATGTAAAGAGACCGGTTCCTTGGTCCGATTGGGCCGGGGACACTGTCGCTTGGCGAATTCTCGAACTTGTGACGTGAAAGGGCCAGTGCTGGGGCAGGATGCCCCAATCATGCGGTGAGCGAAGCTGACGGCCGAGCATGTGAGTTGTATCACTGAGAGAGTGGCCTTGTTTCGAATTGCATAGACAAGGTACAAGGCGAGTGTCATGTCCGCGGTTGGCAGGAAGGGAAGGTTGACCTTGATGCCGAAAGGAACGAAAACTGTTGCCAGTAAGGTTCGTAAGTTCGAATGTGGAGTGTGCGCGCGTTTGTGCCATGACCAGAGAGCAGCTCGCGTTGCAGGGTTGGGATTTAGATTTGTTTGCGATACAGGCGGCGGAGGCAGACATTAGGGAAACGTGACTTGCAGAGCGAGCATTGAGGCTATCAGGTAGACCAGAGCCGGAGAAGGCGCTAGTGTGTGTGCCTGGGCTAAGCATTGGCTTCCGTACGTGAGTCGGATGTGAGCTTTGATGGGGCTAGCCCAGGCTGGCGGTGAGGGTTGGGAGGAGTGCACCAGCTGGCGCCGGGCCAGTGGGGAAGTACCAGGGTGAGAACGCGTGTGTACGTTGCGCATGGTGAGGACGGCGGGGATCAGTTGAGGTGGGGGGAAGGCAAAGCCGTGTTTTGCCGACCAAGAGATCGTGAAAAGCGTTGATCGCCGTAGCAGCAGGGTGCGGGTTTTCGGAACAGAAACGACGCAGCTTGGCGTTGCTAGCATTGGCGAAGAGATCAATGGAATGGGGACCCCGCGCCGGTCAAGGATGTTGAACCACAGGGTTTTCAGCGTGTAGTAATCGCGATCGAGGATCTTGGAAAGCTCGTCCGATATGTGTTTGAGTTCGCGAGGGATCCACTCCATCATGAGGCGGACTCGGTGGGTAGTACACGTGCGAATGATCTCCTTGCAAGCGATGGTGAGATCAGAGCTGTGTGAGCCACCCTTCTTCAATATGAAGAAAACTCCCTGATTATCCACTCGTACGAGCACATGCTTGTTTCGGAGTAGGTCGCTGTATGTCTGCAGTGCCCATAGAACCCCTTCAATCTCTCGACGGACGTGTGTCGCAAAGCGGCGGGCATGTTCATGCTGGCTTCATCAAGGTTGCCAGAGAACGTGTTGAGAGTAGCCCCCCAGCCGTGGCTGCTCGCGTCGACGTGAATTACAGCGTCGTAGCTACAGCGCACATGAAATGGGGCGCCGTTGAAGTGGTCAAACTCGGTTGACCAAAATTCCAACTCCTCGCAGGCGATAGGTGAGAGCAATACTCTGCTGTTCCAGGAGGGAGCGTTTGATGGTCTGCAGCAGAGCGGGCTGAATGCCCTGGCAGTGGCCCCAAGGCAAGAGACATCGAAGCAAGCATACCAGTAACCCGCGCGACGTGCCGGACGGGGACCTTGGACTGGCTGCGTCCGGCTTCAGGAGCGACTGGATAGTAGCTGCAGTGTGGCCCGCCGTTCCGGACCCACAGAGAATTGGCCGAGTTCGGTATCGAGTTCCAAGCCCAGGAAACGTAAGCGCTGGGTTGGTTGAAGGTGGGATTTCTTGGCTTGATCACGAGGCCGCCTTGCAAAGATCACCGATAATGTGGGTGCAAGTTTCCCTGGCGTCGGCTTCCGAATGACAAAGGAAGAGGATATCGTCCACATACGGTATGACACGCACTCCATTGTTCTCCAGCGGCGCGCGGTTGCTTGATCAACTGCGTGAAGATGAACGTGCTGTAGCCAGTCCGAAACGGAAGGGAGCGGAAACAGTATGAGTGCCCGCCAAATTGAAAACCCAGGAATTTCCAACACGACGGGTGAATGTCGACGTGGTGATAGCAGACTTCAGGTCGATTGAAAACATCAATCGCCTGCACGCGCCAACTCTGCGACGTGATTGAGTCCCTCGTACTTGAATTTTGGAATTTGCAGCTCCTGGTTGACCTTGCTCAGATCGAGGATGAGACGACATTTGTCGCGCTGTTCCACGACGTTGAGAGGGCTGACGCATGTGAGCGTTGGTTCTGGCACCTTTGCGGCGCCGGTTTGGAGGAGATCCGCGATGGCGGACTTCGTAAATGCCTCGTGAATTTGGGCCCCCGCATGATTGGTGCTCCGGAAAAATTGTGGGGGCCCTTGTTTCCAAGGCATCCAGTAGCCTCTGTCAATTACTGATATGATCAAGCTACTGGTGCACCACGAACGCCACCAGGTAGTGCGTCTCGCAGGCGCCCCGCATGGTTGAGACCGTCCGGTCCGTCACTGCGTATTCGAAGGGATCACCAAGCCCCGTGAGGTCATGTGTGAGTAGTTCTGCAAATGGAATCCAACGAAAGATGGGGTAAGGATGTAAATGCTGGCAGAGTGAGCGCGAAGTCCACCAAACGTGATCGTGAGCATTTTTTTTTTTTTTTTTGAAGCCAGGATGGTCATGAAGGCTACTGCATGACACGATATGAATCTAAGGGACTAGGCCAAATGGGTATCTGGCCCGGCAGCCGGTCGCATGCTGCCACCCGGCATGCGCTTTCGATGTTGCTTTCTCACATTCGGCTCTCTCACCCCTTCTCTCTCTCTCTCCTCTCTCTCTCTCTCTCTCTCTTTCTCTCTCTCCTCTCTCTCTCTTCTCTCTCTCTCTCTCCCTCCTCTTCTCTCTCTCTCTCCTCTCTCTCTATCTCTCTCTCTCTCTCTCTCTCTCCTCTCTCCCTCGCTCTCTTCTCTCTCTCTCTCTCTCTCTCACTCTCCCTCTCGCTCTCTATCTCTCTCCCTCTCTCTCTCTCTCTCTTTCTTGCCCTCTCTCCCTCTTTCTCTCTCTCTCTCTCTCTCTCTCTCTCTCTCTCTCTCTCTCCCTCCCTCTCTCTCTCTTTCTCCTCTCCCTTCTCTCTATCTCTCTCTCTCTCTCTCTCTCTCTCTCTCTCTCTCTCTCTCTCTCTCTCTCTCTCTCTCTCTCTCTGTCTCTCTCTCTCTCTCTCTCTCTCTCACTCTCTCTCTCTTTTTTCTCTCTCTGCTCGCTTGCACCATCTTTCTCTTGCGAAGCATCGCATGTTCTAGTAAGCCAAATCCCTCCAATGGCTTGTCAAAGAGCAAGTGATGGAAAAGAAGCTAGGCTAGTTATGTGCCTCGCGCTAGACATTGTAGGCCCAACAAAGTGTTTGGCTTCGTGTGCCCTGACGTGGCTGCACCCGTTTTTAGTCGTGCCTTCTTCTGGTTTAGGCTTGGATGGCAAGGGTACCCAAGATAGGTTCATAGGCTCCAAAGACAGAGCTGCCTTGTGAGGTCCCAAGGCATTGTGAGGCCTTTTTTTTTTTTGTTTTGTTTTGTTTTGTTTTGTTTTTTTTTTTTTTTTTTTAGATTGGGGTTCTCAATGTTATTTTTAGAAAGGAGATCAACAGGAATTGAAAAAGCTTGGCCCATGAGCTTCTAGTCTCGAGCCTTGGCCACTATCCAACAATGATTCTAGCTTGTCAAAAAAAGAAAGAGAAAAAAAGGTGATGAAACGAAAAGAACTGGCACCTCCAAGGGTGCCATTACGAGGTAGGGAAAAAAATGTTTACTCCCCTTTGGGGCTTGGCCCGCGGCCTGTACTCATACCCTATCGGGTTTGGCCAGCGGCCTTTGCATTCTACTTCCCAGCGAGGGAATGGCCAGCGGCCCTAAGCACCCCATGGTGTGGTGGCACCTACTCCGAAGTCCACAAAAAATCCTCAATACTTTTCACACATACTCACACAACGGGTGCAAGCCCTTGTGGCCCGCTCCCATTTCCAGTGCAGTTGTTCGCCGTGTGGCCCGGCTGGCCACAGTGAAAGCAAGCGCCACGGAAGCCTCTCTGGGCGCCGCTCGGTGAGGGTCAAACTTCTCTCCAAAGCCCATAGCAGCGGCCTCCAACGGGATGGTCGCGACCATAGGAGCCTTGCGCGCGTTTCATTGCCGCAACGTCTGCAACTGCTTGCTTGAAGGGTCGTGAGGAGAGGACACTCTTCTCTTGGTAGAGCTTGAAGCAGTGTGCCGTCTTGAAGTCGGAGGCGTCGGCGACTTGGAGGAGCTCGAAGCGCTTGGCGATGAGCGCGTATGCCGCCTCGAAGTATTCAAGCGAGCTCGATGTGTCGCCATGGCGCATCTTGTGCTCCGCGTGCTTCAGGTACGCTCGCAGGTCTTCCAAGAACTCGGCTTGCTCGCGTACCCCAGCGTTGTTGAACGATGATGCCGGGATGGTTGGGTTAGAGAAAGGAAGAGGTGGGAGGTGCTTGGTGGGTGCGAAAAAATTTGCGTGTGTATGAGCCTCACCAGCCTCGTTGTCGGAGTCACTCTCTTCCTTGGCATTGTCTTGCGTGGCAGCGGCGAGCTCCTTCTCGACGCGGGCGGTCTTGGAAGGACGAACGTGATGCGACGACTCCTTTTTTTTGCATCTTCAATTTTAGTCGAGGCAGAAATTGTAGTCGCAGCTGCTGTAACCGCGGGTGTGTTTTGCTGTAACAGCGCCAGCAGTGCCGCCACTTACTCGTTGGTCAAAGCAGGGGCGGCAGGTGTTGGCGCGCTGGACGAGGCCGCCCTGCAGCCTTGCTTGTTGTGACACGCGGGGCCCGCCCTGCCGTTCGGCGCCTTCTGCGCGCTGGCGTCAGCAGGAGACGCGCCATCCGCAGCGTGCGTCTACTGCTGCTCGCTGGCGCGTGGCCCACCAAGCTCAACTTGGTGGACCTCGCCATTGCGTAGCAACATGTCGAGGCAGAAGGGGCGAGGTCGCCCTCTGCCCGACGCTTGTTGCCGCGATCACCCGCCATTTCACGGGCGTTTTTCTCGGGTCTGAATTATTCGGAGTGTCGACGGGCGGATATTCAGCACGATTGGCCAGGGTGCTAGGAGGGGCCATGGCTGCCTCGTTATGTGTGAGGATATCTGCGAGAAGTTGGGAGGGTGCTTCCCCGCGAGGGAGAGTTTTCAACTTCGCCAGAGTGGCGGAGCGAAAAAAGCAGGATGGGAACTCAATTGAACTTGAGCTGGGAAAAATGAAAAACGTGGGTGGAGGAAGAATGACCTACAACCCCATCATATGGTTAGAGAAGGGCGAATAGCTCGCTTCGACGATGCCTTAGATTGCGTTACAAGCAGCTTCGCATTCACAATACACAATTTTGAAAGTGTGAACACTTAAAAATTTATATATCATCTCCAATAGTGACAATTTTTGTACTTGTAGGCAGGGTCTTCGCTAGCCTAGTACTTACGCGGGTGGTGAAGGGTGGGTGGGGTGGGTTGGGGGAGTCTCAGAGTTAGAATTGTGTAGTAGAATGAGAATGTTTAGGGGTATATAGCTAGTGGGTTGTACTCTATGGCATGACCCTACGTAGTCTACTAAACATACACACATATGTTTGACACACCCCCTAGACTAGATAGTGGCAGAGCTTGGTGAGAGACAAGCAGCTCAGGGCGGCACTACTAGTCCAGCCTTTGAGGCAGGGGTCTAAAGACCACTCAAAAGAGTACAAACAAGGCAAGAAAAAAAGACCAGGGCGGCACTTCTAGTCCAGCCACTAGGAGAAAGCCACAAGGCCAGTCAGGACAATATATAAAGAGTTAGACACAATCTAGCTCCTAGCAAATGAGGTGCTACAGGAACGAGACCAAGCTGTACGCAGTGCCGCTGATGATCTTTAGGTGCAAGCGCCTTCGTAAAGATATCAGCTGTGTTGGCACCAGAGGCCAAGTGTACTACGTGGCCTGGCGACGCTGCTGTAGCTCGCGCATGAGGAAGTACCGCAGCTAGATGTGCTTCGCTCTGCCCTCGAGTCTAGGCTCCTAACACAGGAGGATCATGGCCCTGTTGTCAGCGTACAGGACCAGGACAGAGCAAGAAAGTCAGCGAGTGGAGCTCCTGTGCCGACATGGCACCGGCGTAGATCTCAGCCTTACAGCTTGACTGGGCAACAGACGACGAGCGGGTGGACCTCCACGAGACAGCACCTGCACCAAGGCTAAAGTAGTAGTCCTGGGAGGACTTGAGAGTCTCGGCATCGTCAGCCCAAGAAGCGTCTGTGTGCCAGGTAAGGACCACTAGTCTGCGTCCTCCTAGCAAACGCCCATGCGTGATGTATTTGCTAGATAACGCAGAACCCTGTTAGCTGCAAACCAGTGCTGTTGTTGGTGTCTGCCGGAGGCAACAAAGCGGGCCAGGATGCTGAGAGGGTATGCGAGATCTGGACGAGTGCAAGTCATCAGGTACATGAGGCAACCCACCACCTCTGCGTAAGGACCACTAGGCTCTACAGCCTCCTCCGGGACTGGAGCAGAGAGCCTGTGATCTCCTGGCAGAGGGGTGGGCTGTGCGGAAGAGAACTGAGGCCGAACCTCTGAAGGACCTGACGCACCAAGTGTGACTATGAGAGAGTGATGGTGCGCGCTGCTATGTCCCTGGAGATGTGCAAGCCAAGGTAGCGGTGCAGCTCTTCTAGGTCAGTGCAGGTGTGTCTCCTCAGCAGCTCGACCTTCACGGAGGTCAGCGCGTCTTTGTCTACAGTAGCAAAGACTAGATCGTCTATGTAAACACGAGTGTAGAACGGAGTCTGGCCAGAACGGACGAAGAGCGAGGGGTCCGCAGTCGACGGGAAGACCTGCAGGTCAGCAAGTGTAGCACGCAGCATGTCGTGCCACTCATAGGCGCCTTGCGCAGGCCGTAGACGGGGCGACGGAGGAGCCACTCGGTACCAGGGGAAAGGTACCGGAGAAGCCCGGGGGGCAGCGCAGGTAGACCTGCTCATGTAGACCCAGCTGCTCAGCCACCGTGTTTCCCAGTCCCCGGCCGCTTCAACCGGCCCTCTCCACCGTCCTGCACCGCGCCCCACTGTGCTGCACCGCTCAGCACCGCATTGCACCGCGCCCCACTGCACTGCACCACGCCCCACCGCACTGCACCACTCTGCCACGCGTGGCACCGCACTCCACGGTGCCCCACCACACTCCACCGCACAGCACCGTACAGCACTCCTCCCCACTGCTCCTCGTCGCTCCGTCCGCCCTTCACCGCCTGTTCGCGCTGCAGCAGCCTTAATGACGGACTCGGTGCTGCACTTTGACGCGGAGGGTCAGCCGGTTTGAGTTCAACGCATGGCTCGTTTCACCTCCTGCTGCCCGTTTCACCAGCCCTCTCCACCGTCCTGCACCACGCCCCACCGTGCTGCACCGCTCACCACCGCACTGCACCGCTCTGAATCGTGTGGCATCACACTGCACGGTGCCCCACCGCACACTACCGCATTGCACCGTACAACACTCCTCCCCACTGCTCCTCGTCGCTCATTCACCGCCTGTTCCGCGGCTGCAGCGGCCTTCATGGCGGACTCGGTGCTGCGCTTTGATGCGGAGGGTCAGCCGATTGAGTTCGACTCATGGCTCGTCGACCTCCGCCGTTACCTCACTGGTCAGCGGCAAGACGGCCACTCCTTGGCTGTCCACATTGACGGTACGCTCCCGTGCCCTGACCCCCCAGTTGCTCTCCCCGCTGACCCACGTCTGCTGATCGTGAGTTCGCCGCCGCTGCTGCCCTTGCCTGTGCTATCTGGCTGTCGCGTGACGTTGTTGTTCAGCTTGCAATTTGCCATGCCCTCCCCCTATCTGAGAGCCCCCGAAATAAGTCGGTCAGGGCTGCGCAGGAGTTCCTAGAGGCTGTTGTCGAGCGTTATTCCACCCCGTCCTCTGCCTCTGCCGGACGCCTGATCCTTCCCATGCTCTTCTCTGATCTCGCGTCTTTCCCCACTGTCGCTGACCTGGCCGCGCACCTGCGCACACTCGACGCTAGCTGGCGCGCTGCATGCACTGAGGCCCAGCTTCGTGTGTTTCGGCCCCCTATCTGCTTTACCCTTTACCTTCTTGCCACCCGCCTCCCCCGACCGACTTGCCACTGCCCGCGACCACTTTCTTAGTCTGCACCCCGCTGACCTCACCCTCTCCAACTTTGTTGACACCCTGTCTGCCATAGAGACCCGTCAGCGCTCTATCGCCCAGTCTACCGGTACTGCGCCGGTCCCTATCTTTCAGGGTTGTGCTCCCGTTCAGTGCACTTACTCTGACGGTTCTGCGGCTGTAGTGGAGGAGGGGGTGGAGGTGGTGGTGGAGGTGGTTCATCCGCTGGCGGTAGTACCGACGAGGGGGCTGGGGCTCGTGCCTCGGAAGCAGCAGCCCTAGTGGGAGCAGCAATAGGTGCCACAGCTTGACCAGCAGCAGCAGCAGCAGCAGTCGCAGCGGAGGGTCGGCCGCCTCCCGCCTGGGTGGCCTGGCGCTGGTGGTGATGGTGGTGGTGGTCGCTGTGGTCGTGCGCGTAGCTCATCGTTGGGTGGTGGTGCGAGTGACGGGCGCTGCTAGTACCAACTCCAGACCGGTCCTCGCTGCGGCCTCGTGTGCGGTAAGACCGGTCATACCCCTAATCGATGTTTCAGTCGCCTGGATGACCTGTTTTGTCTCTGCTTCGGCCCCGCGCCGGACCTCCCCGACTGGCACAGTCTGCTCTGCCGTGGTGTTAGGAACTTTGATATGGACATGGATGAGATTAGCTCTGCCTTGTATGTGCTGTATGTCGATGACTCTAGTGTGATTGGTTCCTATTCCCCCGTGTTGCCTGGTGTAGGTGTGTCCAGTATGCCTAGTTTAGGCTCCCTTGCAGGGTCAAGCGTACGACCATTTGCTTTGTTTAGCCTTGGCTCCACCCTAGCTCCTCTGCCCCCAGCCGCCACTGCTGCGCTCTCCTTCACTCTCGACTCTGGCGCGTCTTGGTGCTACTTTCGGGACCATACTACGCTTACGCCGCTTACCGTCCCTGTTGCAGTTACCCTTGCAGACCCTTCCTTTGTCCGGTAGTCGCCCGTGGTTCCACTACTCTCCCCTGTCCGGCAGTTCCTTCGGGCTCTCTTACAGGCCTGCACATACCCTGATTCTCTCGGAATCTAATTGGTGTCGGCTGTCTTGAGGACCTCGGCGTTACCACTACGTTCCCTAGTCACGAGAGGTACGCTGTCAGTACCGAGGCCGCCACTGGTGCCCCCTTGACCATGTTCCCCCGGGACCCGATGTCTGGCCTGTTCACGCTGGACACCGCGTCCCCCCGGTTGGGACGCCCCCCTAGGTAGCAGCGTCTAACCAGGTTGCTGCGGCTTGCTCGTGTCGGCCGCTTACTCACTCGTCACTTCTGTGGCACCACCGCCTAGGTCACCCCGCTCTTATAAGTCTCCGTCACATGTCTCAGCACGGTCTTGTCTTAGGTCTCCCTGCGTCGTTCCCTGCGCTCCCCTCCTCGGCAATGCCTCCGTACACGCCCTGCGTCGAGGGCCGGCTCCGCCGTGCCCCACACTCCTCCTCATTCCCCCCCACCACCGTACCATTACAGACCCTGCTCATGGACGTCTGGGGCCCCGCCCCCGCCCATGGGCCACGTCGTGAGCGTTACTTCCTAATGTTTGTCGACGACTACACTCGCTACACCACAGTGTTTCCTCAAGAGCGGAAGGCTGATGTGCCAGACGTTCTTTACCGCGGCTTGTCTCAGCGCGTGTGCACCGAGGTCTCCATGTGTTGCGTCTTCACTCCGACCGTGGTGGTGAGTTCGCATCTGGCTGCCTTGGTCGCTTCTGTCGTGCGGAGGGCATCACAGTGACGTACACCCTGCCGGACTCCCCGCAGCAGAATGGGGTCGCTGAGCGACGCATTGGTTTGGTCATGGAGGTGGCTCGTACCTCCATGATCCATGTCGGTGCACCCCATTTTCTCTGGCCATTCGCCGTTCGCTACGCCGCCCACCAGCTTA